CAACCTGCTGTTTCTGAATATTTCGTCCAGTTCTTCTATCTTATAGATAATTTTATTTAATTCTCCTTTAAACCCTTTTTCTTCTTTCAGTGAGTTAACTTCAGACTTAATAGCTTGCAATTCTATATTTAGCTGCAAAAATTTTTCCTGTATTAACTCATAAATTGCTTTAAGTGTGTATTAGGACTCTTCTGCTTCCTGTTTTTCTATTTCCCTTAATGGCTCAAAATAATCTTGTATTTTCATATTTCTTGTTGTTCCTGGTCTGTCCTTACAAGAATCATCTTCAGTTTGATAATATTCCTCACTCAGTTTATCCACCAGCTGGTTTTCCTCATCCACTTCTTTGAAGATCTCTTTCTGTGCATGCTTTTTTGCATTTCCACTTGATTTACTTGCTGCAGTGAACAGGTAACAGGCCTGGATTTATTTCAATACCTGCAATAATTAGTAAGCACATAATTAAAATCAAACTTAACCTATTAGTAAATATCCAGTACTTCAAATGAATCATAATTTGCTTCTTTATGATTTTCGTACACACCAGAACAACACTATTAATCTTCACTAAAAAAATTGCCAGTACCTTCACAGGCCTACTCTCACCCCTATAATAATTGAATCAATTATTTCAAAAAGTAGATATGTGACAATTTTGATGTAATGCATATTTTAGGTGTTATATAGCATTTAAGAGTAAATCCAATGTTTTATGTTAAAAAGAGATTTCTCACATTCCTGCTATAAGTATTATTTACAGTACATTTTGCTAATGTGAATATATTTTGCTGTTTTTGAGCTTTTAAAATCAAAACTGTTTAGTTGAGATGAGAGAGAAAAAGTGATACTTAAGAGATGACAAAGACACAAGGAACTGTGGCCACTAATTGGCCACTGGCCATTCTTTTAATTATACTGTATATTTGCTATAATATATGCTATACATTATTTAGAATACTTAAAAATTTCTTTATAATTTTTCAAAATAAATATTATTTAAAATATACTAATTATAGTATTGAATGCTCAACAAGAAATAGATCAAATATTATTAAATTCATAAGTTTACTAGCCAAATTATTAAAATAATAAAATGAATATATAAATAGTATAACTTTATGCTCTAATTTAGACTACCTTCAGGTTTGCAAATTTTTGAATAAAATATGATTTTTTGTTTTGAAAACAAAAATTGTATTCTATTCTAACGTTAGAAAACGTAAAGATGATCTAAATTAAATTGAAAGTACTTGTTAACATTAAAATTTATGCTGATAATAAAGTGTTTGGTATTTATATATTTGAAATTTAGTCAATTGATTTCTCACATGAATAAAATGAATTTTTTAATATATGAGTAGATAAGCATTTTTATTTTAAAATTTTATTTGTTACTATAGGTGCTTAATATTTATTTATACTTAATTTCATAACAATTACATCTAACTAATTGAAGAGAGAAATGTTTGAAACTGAATTTAATCATCAGTTTCAAACATTTATTGATCATCAGTTAATATATAATTTAATCACTGCATTTATCTATATGATAATATATCTACTTATAATAAAAGTTGATTTAATTAATAAATTTATTAGTTAAATTATTAAAACATTCAATATAGTATACTGTACTTATATATGTAATCTCACATATTTCAAATTTTAGTGTAATAGTCAATAACATCTAATTATTAATGTTTATAGATGTTAAGTATGCTTTAATAAAATAATTAAAAATTACTTTTATTGATTATTATTTTCCATCATTCTATATTTAATACTATTATTTTCAATCCTTTTTACATTTAGGTTTAGCAAATAGTATAAATTAAACAAATCAAACAGTTTGTCTGTTTGATGGAAGTAATATGTTAAATTTGTATAATTTATATTGTTTGCTGATGATAATTGCTTAAAAGAATTGAAAGTACTAATTTAAAACAAATGCTGAAAAATTAAAGTTGTATTATTTATTGTAAATATTCCAGTTTAATTAGATTAATAATAGATAGATTCTATGTATGAAACAACCACTTATCCTTACTCCTGGAAATCATTAATACTCACAATGATATACAAAAAAGATGATAAACTTTCTCCAAATAATTATAGGCCGATTGCATTAATTTCAACTTTAAGAAAAGTTTTACATCACTACTAGCTACAAAATTTCAGCACTGGATGAAGATAATGGATCTTGAAGCAAACTTTCAATATGCCTTTTTCAAAAATAAAGGAACAGAATCTGCTATTTTCCTGTTATCATCCATAATACAACTTCAACTGAGTAAAAAACATAGAAAGATTTATGTAGCTTTTATAGATATTCAAAAAGCCTTTGATTCTGATTTATATTCTGCTATTAGTACATAAGTTAAAAGCTAAAGGATCAGGAAACAAATTTGCTACTACAATATTTAAGCTATTTTTAACTTATAACGCAACTATTAAAGAGGGAAAATCTGTTTCTCCATCATTAACATTAACACGAGGAATACTTCAGGGTGACCCGTCACCTTACTTATTCAACTTCTATTTACTTGAAATCGATCAAATGTTTCAAGATCATTCAGATGGGATAGAGATTAGTGACAGAGTTTTCCACTATGTGTTATTTGTGGATGACCTTGCTGTCTTTGCTCCGACAAAAGTTTAAATACAAAGAAAAATTAATCAGTTAAATTCTTATCTTAAATTAATTCACTTAACTATAAACTCTGCCAAAACTAAAGTTCTTATATTCTGTAACAATAGTAGAATCTCCAAAAAAGAAACTCTGCTATATCTAGATAATAATCCACTGCAGACAGTAAATGAAATTAATTATTTGGGTGTTGTTTTTGACTGGAACCATACATTTAAATCACATCTCTCATAGTTAGACAACAAGGTAAAACTTGCCATAGATAATCTGTTTTATTTATATTCTAAATTAAAAATTTCCAACTTAACTGTCTATATGAAGCTCTATAATAAAATTATTAATTCAATCATATACTACGCATCTCCAATCTGGGGACTTGACTACTTGTATAAACTGGAATCTTTCCATATTTATTTCATCCGCAGACTATTTCATTTAGAAAGAACTGTTCCAGGCTACGCAATTCGTAACGAAACCAACTGTATCTGCACGTTCCCATTCTTTATAAAACGAATCATTAAATTCTATTAAAAGTGACAGTAATATCAGCTTTCTACATAATGAAATAATTAAAAGCAGCAAAAAAACCAACATCAATACAACTTTGGCAAACTAAGTTAAATAAAATACTAAATTCTTTTGGTGTATCAGAATTATTATTCAAAGATAGTATCCGGGATTGGAAATTTGTATATACCACATTAATAGATTCAGCCATCTCTCAGTCAATAAATGCTGATCAAGCCAGTTTAAATCATAATACTTATCATTCATGGTACTTAAAAATTTTTTAAATCCCATCTATATAACCTTATATGATAAAAACAATCAACTTCAACGTGAAAAGACTAATATCACAATTATGACTAAACAAATTCTTGCTGTATATTAATAATATATATATAAACTTATCAAATAATTACTGCCCATGGTGTAAATCAGGAGAATCTTCAATTGACCATTTACTTCAGAAATGTCAAAGACTTTCAAATATATGTGACTCTCTCAATGTCTCACGAATGTTACATGATAATACTCACCAAGATTATAGAAATATTCTAAATAATTTGAATAAAAAAAGATCTCTACAATTTATATAAATACTTCATCAAAGCGACAGAAATGTTAGAAAATTAAATCAGCAGAGTTAACTTATGATATTGTTGTAAAACTTGACTATTGTTGTTTGGATATACAGTAGAGCATTGTCTATCCGAAAGCTGGTTATCCAACACGTCTGTTATCCGAAAGCATTCCAGTCGGCAATTTACATTTTTGCTAGTGCTGTGGCGCTGCAATCTTCGGCTATTTCTCGGGCTGCTCAAATATTTTACATTTTTGATACTAAATTAACATCTGAAGTATAATTTTTTATTGTTTTTATATTTTTCAATAAATTTATTTTGTTTGTACAAAATAAAAAAAATAATTTTTAACGATACAATAGTCTTCGTTAGGCTCAACATCGATGAAAATTCAACGCGAAGCAACACGCAATGGAGAAAAATTTCAACATGGGATAAATTAATATATTTTTTCGTACATGATTCGTTATCCGAAAAATAAGTTATCCAAACTACCCCAGTCCACAATTGATTCGGATAAATGCCGCTCTACTGTAATGTTATGATTATCTAACTATTGTTATTAATTATTAATTATGTTAATAATTAACTAATATGAAATCTATTGTATAAAAAAACTTCTGAATGTTACAATATTATTTAATGTTATTATCAAGGATGGTTTATAAATTAAATTTGTACAATCCCCGCAACAGGGATAATACCTTTTTGCTAATAAAGTTTTTTTTTTGATTTGATAATAGATACAATAGATAAACAAAAAATTATATTCATTAAAATTTCAATATTTTAAATGAGTTAAAAATTTAAGACAGATATATTTATTAAATGTATAAATGCTTAAATATCAACAATTAAGATTTATTTATTCATTATTTAATATTTTAGATAAATTAAAAATTTATCAAAATATCAATAGATATTCAGTGATTGTTAACATGTATTTAATATTATATAATTCTCTTATAAATGTACAAAAATACAAATATACTTGGTACTTTTATATTTTTTTTGTAAACATAAATCACATGGTAATGAAAATAATTAAATAAATCATTTTGTGATTTTTCCCCCTTCTTTTCATTATAGTGATTGAATTTAAGTGTTTAAAATATATTTTATATATAAATGAATAATTTATTATTGAATTTTAATAAATAGTTTTTTTTTATTATACTTTTATTTTAGTGCTTATAGTAAGTTATTTATTTATTTAAAAAATTTTAAAGAAAATATAATTAACTTATAAATATTTGCAATATTTACAGATATGCCCTTGTTTGGATTTTGTCCTGCCTGGGATGAATTTTATTTAGTAGTCTGTGAATTGTGTGGTTATGTTGTTAAACCACAAGCATTAAAGAATCATATTGGTATGTACTTAAAATAGTTTAAATGAATCCATTTTATTTAAATATTTTAATAATGTTTTATTCAACATAAATTCAGAATTTAATATATAGTTATAACAAAACTTTCAGATCAGAATTATTTTAATAATTTTTATCTATTAATAACTACATAAATTTCTGATTTTAAAGTTATAATGATAAACTGCTGTTAAAATTTTGGCTAACAAATAGATTATTTAATCAGAAATGTTTTCAATCCTGATTATCTTCACTTTACAGAATAAGTGGAATAGAATTGTTTTAAATTTTAAAAAATAAAGATTTAAGTTAGAAGCAATAAAATAAAAAATAAAGAAATAAAATAAAATAAAAATAAATACTTTTTATTTTATTTAATATTATTATACATACATAATTATATAATGTAAAAAGACCAAAGACATAATCAAAAGCATTTCTGAATAAATAATCTGTTTGGTAACCAGAAGTTGTTTATCATTATTATTGTAATGATGCCAAGTTTTGTTAACTTCCATGATTTTTACAGTCTAGAAATACCTTACAATTTGCAAAAAATTAAAATAAATCAAAAATTATTTTGCAATACAAATAAATTGATAATACTCTAATTGTTCTGTATTATAATCATTACTGGTTTTTGTCTGTTTTAAATGAAAGTATTGTCAATAATGAATTAAAATATAAGCCGTAAAATATATTTTACATATTAATATCTAATTGTTGTATGAAATTTTATTTTAAGATTCAATCAGCAGATCAGTTCTTACTTCATTAAGATTTTAACATATAAAAACTTATATTTTATATATAAATATTTCATTAAAATATTGATGTTTATTTGATAATTTACTATATCTCATCCAATGTCAATCTAAACCTTCAATTTTTCTGCAAACAGTCTCTTTTTAAATAGTATTAGAATTTGAGTATGCCCAAATGACATTTTTAAATCTTCTTATCAGTTCTGTCTATAATTTAGCATTGGAATTTAAGATGCTAAATGGTTACATTATTTCAGGTATTCAGTAATGTGATACACTAGGAACATCAAAATACAGCTAAAATCATAATTATCTATCTGGGTAATAGATTATAAGAGTGAAGAACAGTACAATTTCAGAATGCTGTACATGTGCAGAAACTATCGATCATTATATATTTTTAAAACGGTTACATTATATTTTCTAAATTTTCTTAATAATAGTAAACAATAAAGATACAGAGTAGATGATGTTTATATGAAAAACCTAATTAATAAATTGAATATTATAGGTTAATTGGTATTATAACTTATATGAATTGTTCATTTTCTAAGTTTTCAATAAGGCTTAAAAATTTTACTATTTGTACTCTTAAGCTCTTTCTTCTATACTTGCTTATTTTATGTTTATGGTAAAGTATATATGTTACTGTGAAAGACCGAAATTAGAGAATGTCGATATTCTTCGGTGAATGTCGACACATACAAAATATGTCGGTGAAAGATAGAATATTTGGTTATATTATTATACATTCGAACAATTGCCGGTGTATGTCGGCAAGCACAGATAAGCTTTGCTGGAAGTCGAAACAACACCCGAAAAGCTGATGTCGATAGAGAGGCGACAATCTGTCGCCAAATCCTTTGTGGGTAGTCGGAGTTAGGACAAGGTCATACCTCTTTTCCCGGCAATGGTTTGGTGGAAATAGCCTACTTTGTTACTGGATGGAGTTTTTGTTCTTTTGATCCCGTGAGGTGGGGATCAGTTAGTCAGGTCGAGTGGCGGAGGATGAGAGGGGTCGTCGGTAAGGCGTCGGCGATATCCGAATAAAAGACACCATTAACAGATCAGTTCGTAATCAAGTAATAACATAATCAGTTCGTAATTTGTAAAGAAAAGTTACTTTTCATAGATGAGATTCCTTTTCAAGAAATATCGCTGAGAGAAGCAGCTACAGCTAAATCGAAAAAGTAGAGGGTAAGGCTATACATTTTTTTTAACATTTAGTGGAGCACTCCCTCTGACCTGTAGCATTAACTGCTACTGGCTTGAGGTACTCCTCTTTTAATTAACCCTGCTTCGCATATGCTTTGCAGGTAAGGCTATACATTAGACCCCGTATAACACTGTAGATATTTCCGTGTTATATGAATTCTATGTTGTACGAGTCACTTAGATTTTACAAATACGTGAGCCGTTCACAGCCTGACACACGTATTTGTAAAATCTAAATGACTCATAGAAAATGGAATTCATATAACACAGAATTATCTACAGTGTTATAGGGGGTCTACTGTACACGCTGTCATTGCGAAAAGAAGTGTTCCACGAATAAATGCAGTTGTAAAAGCAAGGGACTCAAAGTACCATAACAGTTTAAGTTATTGCAATAAGTAAGATTGTACAACGTCAATCACATAATTTATGTGTAAGTTTATTATTGTATTATTTTCTTTAATTTTTAGGTTCAACAGTTTATTTACATGTGCCGTTACTTAAGCTTTATCCTGTTTTGACGTATTAAAAAGTTGCATTTTTGTCTTAATGTAATAAAAATATTTTTATTCAACATTCTCCATCAGTGCATGCTGAATGTCGACATTTACCAGTGTAAGTGAGAAATGATGATATTTAGCAAATATTTCGTACATACACGAAACGACTGCTGACGTTCGCCGGATATCGGTCATTCACAGTAACATATACATTATTTAAATGTTTGGTATCGATGATATGGATTTAGAATTACCGTATATTTCTGCAGATAAGACTATAGTTAAATCATAAAAGAAGGCCCCCAAAATCTGGGGTTATCTTATAGGACAGATACAAAAAAAATTAGATTGAAATTTATATAAATTAAAATCATTATAAAAAAAACAGAAAAACCATAATTATTTACTAGTAGAGAGTAGGGTATGTCCATAAAATAGAATAGCCCATACAACATTTTTATGAATAGTCAAGGTCATTACCCAAATGCCTGAATCAGTGTGAATGTTTGCAACAATAGCAAGTCAGTACTGCCAGATGTAAGAAAATAAAATTTGTTCATTCAAAAAATTACAAATAGGACATAATTCCGTATACGCTATACAGTATTATTATATAGATGATAATTGCTGATCTAAACTAAATTCATAGGCCATTGATAGTTTGGGGGTTGTCTTATAGGAGAGATATATGCTAAAACTATAAAACTTCGACAAAAATTTATACCTTGTCTTGTCTGCGGAAATATACAGTATTTTTTATTTTCATAATTTTTATAAAAAAATATTTTAAAATATTTTATAAAATTCTTTGTAGTGCAGTTTACTGAGCAATCCTAGGTATGCTGTTATGTAAATTATACAGTATATATTATTTGATCATTAATTATATGTAAATTATTAATAAGTTAACAAATTAATAATCTGTTAAGAGCAACCTAGACTTTAAAATGTATACAACATTTTGAAAATTGATTTATTAATTAAATGTCAAATAAAAAATAGCCTGATTAATTACAGCAATAGTTTGGTTTAGTATATCAATGCGTTAGGCTTCGGGATGTTTATTATATAAATGTCAAATAATGAATCTGAAGATGGCAGCTAAATGCAAGTGAAAATGTATGCTATTTAATTATAATTAATTTCCAGATTAATGGTTGATGTCTCGTATTTAATAAGATAAACAATAAAAAAAAACTTATAAATTTTAGAGCATAAATTTAAATTTGTTTTGATTTGGAAGTTTGTCTATTGGAAAACAATTGATACTAGATAGCAAGTCTAAATTTTTTCTTGTAATAAATCACCGACTTTTATTTCAGTCTGTTTTTGCTTTGTTTTAATTATACAGAGCTTTTCTTTTTCATTAAGTGACTACTGTAAAAAAAATGTTTTCATGGTCAATTTTTTAAATTTTGAGTGGAAAAATTAAATTTGAGATTCTAAAATTTTAATGCTTGTTGTAAATATTTTGAATTTAAATTAGTATATAAATTTTATAGTAATCGATGATTTCATGATTAATTTTCAGTTTAATAAATTCTCAAGTGTTAAATCAAAACGAAATTTAAAGTCTTAAAAACCATGAATATACTACAGTTTGAATCAGCAGTTTATTTGAACACACTCATGCTTACAGACATACCTACAAACACACATGCTATTTGAATTTGTTGGGAATCATGGAATGCAAAATATTTAAATGGAAAAATCTAAATGATGTAACCAATTATAAGATACAATTTATTGAAATCTGAGCTGATTTATGTTTATAAACATAAATAATAAATTTATATATACAAAAGTAGTTAAAGTTAGTTGTAATATAATGATAGATGGAATTGATAAGAGATTTGACTACATCTGAAATTAATTTTTCAAATTTTAATTTAATTTAAAAAGGAAATTCTTTTGAAAAAAGAAGAAATACCTAAATAATGCTGGGAGAGAATAGATTGTATGATTGCAATTTTAGATAGGTTATGATAATAGATTTAATGCTTAAATTAAAACTGGTGAACAGCATTTTACATACATAAATATCTCAAAGCCTGATAATTATATTAAAGCCAAATGATTAAATCAGGCTACATTACTACTACTTATTAGTAGTAATAACGTAGCCTGATTTAATCTTGTAATCATTTGGCTTTAATAAATCATTTTACTTTATCCAAAACAAACAAAAATTATTATTTTTTTTAAGGTTAAACATATTTCATTTAAAAGTTTTAAAATTAATATTTTTAACAATATTACTTGTATTGATGATGATAGTATTTAAGGTATTTTTTTTTATATCATTAAAAATATTTAAATTTATTCTATATTGATAATTATCATTCAAAATCTTTTTTAATAATGATTCATAACATATAAAGAGAATGAGAATTCCTACAAAGAAAAATTTTTGATGTTTTAATATATTTTTAAGTTTTATAACTCATTCCAAAATTTAAAAAATAACTATTATGTGAAACTGTGAAAATAGTCAAATTAAACAGCAACTTTTTATATGCATTAT